TTGCCCACTCTGGCAATTCTTTTACTCGCAACAATCTAAAAGTTGAATGCAACTTTTCCTGAGAAATTTGAAAATGTTGTATACCTTCTGAAGAATTGTTATATTCTAGGTTGTCCTAAAAAGCACAAAAACAAAGTGTTAAATTCAAAACTTTGCACTTCTCAACAATAGTATTTTAGCATAAATGAAAACAGGAAGGGCTGTACCTTCGAATTTCTCACCAAAGTGTCCTCACAAATGTTCCGTGTTTTCTTGCTGCTATAAGCCTGGTCTTTGCAGCTATTGATTTCTTCATTCAGAGGTCTTTTCTGTTTTGATGAACTTTCCATGTTCTTGGAGGTGAGGTACTTGAAAAGGTAATGGCCTGGTATCATTTCCATAATATCACCACTTCCAATTGTGCATTTTTCTCCAGACAAAAGCTTTTTTCTCTCATTCCTGGCCCTTACAACAACTGGATTCGTTCCTTCCTGCATTTCATTTCCAATAAGTAACTATTCCAACAATAGCACTAAACAATTAAAATGAAAAATCAGTAGTTTATATCCATTGATCCGGCACCATCAAAATACACATCAGTGAAAAAAGGGCATAGGCGTACAACGAGAATTTCGGCAGAACCATTGGCAGAGATGTTGAGTGTAAGATGCTTCCTGCTGAGCCGTTTATCAGTTACCGGAATGCAATTGCGGCCAACGTAATTAATGCCCTCGGAAAGTGGAATTTTGGGAATTGAAGAGTCCTTTTGTTCCTCCAAGTTACTAGTATTCAGAGGCACCAAAAATCCAACCTTGAAACGAGAGAACGAAATATAATCAATCAAAAGTAATGGGAACCCACAAATAAATAAAACATTGGCGTTTGTACCTGAGGAGCAGCGGTCATTGTGAGTCGGAAAATGGAGGATGATGAGTGAATATGAGAAAGTGGATTGGAGTCAAGGGGAAATTACATGTGAATTTTGGTTGGGAAAATATCGAGACAAACGGGAAGTGATGTATCGGAGAGTTGTATATGCGGCACCGGCTGCGGTGGGTTTTCGTAATGCCTTAAATTTTAAGGATTTATCTAGATGTACAAAATCTTGTACAAAATGGATTACAAAATCGCCAAGTGGCGCCCCACTATTGTAGGGGCGCCTGTTGCGTCAGGCGCCCCTCCAATAGTGGGGCNGAGTTTTAAGTGTTTTCAAAACAATTTTTCAAAATGTTAAAAAGAACACATTTTCAACAATCTCAAAATGGACACTCAAAATACAAAATCCAAAATGAATTCAAAACTCAAAATACAAAATTAAAACACAAAAAAAACATCTCTTAACTTTTTGTTTGATTAAACAAATATCAGCAATGCTACTAGTATATAGGCATGTACATAATGTGAGTGGGGATGTGGCCTACGCTACAGTGTCATGGGCTCCACTACACTCACATTATGTACACACCTATGTTCAAGTAGATTAATCCAACAAATATTGTCAATATATCAAAATCCATTTTTATTACTCTCGAGAAAGTGCATATACAAGTCCTCATTTGTCTTCCATTTTCCTATTTTATTTTTTTCTAAAATTCATATTCA